CTGTCTGTGCCCTGCTTGCTACGGGACACCCACCCCCACCCCCAGGAGCATCCCTGGCCCTTCTGGGTTCCAGATGCAGACGTGTGGAGCGGGCGGGGCCCTCTCAGCAGGGAACTGCCTACCACCTCCGAGCCCAAGGGGATCTGCCACCTCCTGTCACCCGCTTCCTGTCTCCCACATTTCTCCCAAAAACTGACACTCAGGGTTTGGGGGGAGGAGGAAGAAAAGGCAAAAGGCAAGCTTCTGACTGACAGCTGATGGCTCATTCCTCCCGTTATAACTTCATTTGGTTATGGAAGGGGCGATAACACACAAAAACGAATTACCTGTGATCAAGGGCCTTCCCTCCAGTGGCTAGAAAACGGGGATTCTAAGGAGGAAACAGCTGAGAGAGAGACCCACGATCACTCTTCAAGATTTTCACTGAGAAAGGCTAGCACCTTGTGCTGCCGAGCGGGGTCCACGCACTCCCGACCCTGGCTTTCCAGAAGCTTCTGCTTCTCAGCCGTCCACCTCGGACGGGACCCTGTGCCAGGAGGATGCTTTAAAACTCAGCGTAACGCTGAAAAGTAGGTGCTGACGAGGAAACTGAGGCCCAGAAAAGTGAAATGATTTGCCTGAGTGGGCAGTGAAATTCAACCCCGGCCACCTGACGCCAAAGCCCATGCTCCTTCGACCCCCCAGACCCCTCCCCAGGGGGACTTGCCATCAGAACTGTCACCATATGACAGGAATGTGACCAAAGATGGAGGTACGCATGACAGTCATTCTGTCATTGTTTCTGATGGCGGGATTCTCAGAACCCACTGGAAGTCTTCCCCAATTCCAGGGAGACCTCCGTCCACACCTCTATCACCAGGAGATGACGGAGCCAGGGAAAGCCGAGCGCCCAGGAGGGAGAGGGGAGGCGCTCAGATCTGGAGCACGTGCACCAGGCACTTGTCACTTAAAGATCACAAGAATCGTCAGGTCCCCCACACGAGGAAACTGCAGCTCAGAAGGCAAGTCACGCTGCCCGAGGCTGGCAGGCAGCAGGGCGGGGTGCAGACTTGGGCTGGGTCCTTTCCCACAGCAGCACGTGGCCTCCCCAGGGCAGGCCGCAAACCCCAGACACCCCTAAGCCCACTTGCTCCTCAAGACGCCCAGATAACAGCTCAACGACTCGTGCTCTTGACAAACCCTGAAACGCCTCTCATCTCTCCTCTCAAGGTTTACTGCTCCTGTCTCGTGATGGATGGTCCCCGAGCTCCATCAGGACCCTCCACCGGGGCAGGGAGGATGCAGTAGGAAGGGATCTTAAGAAAGGTGACGAACTCCTATATAGGCGGACGTATATCAGAGGCAGATGCCTGCCCCTCAGTCAGATCTCCAGGCCAAAGCTCCTATCTCTGACCCACTCCACCGCTCTGTTCCCAGATGGGCTTCGGACACAAGCTCCACGGCCCTCCTCTGCCCACAGCAGATGCTCAGGGAGCAGGGTCCGGACCTCACCGCACACATCAAGCGCAAGGCTGCACCCTGCTCACTCTCTGGCCGTGTCCCCAGTGCAGGACAGAGCAGCAGCCCTGAGGGCCATCCTCCCGCCCCTGGGGCCTCTGTCACCTCGAAGGTCCGATGGGGATGCCCAGGGCAGGGGAAGGGCGATAGGCGTTCAGTTGCTGATGAATGAATGAATGAATGAATGAATGCCCTCCAGGAGACAAAGCTTCAGAAACTTCCTCCTTCTACTCTCCTACTTCTCTATCATTAAAAAAAGAAGGAATAGTAACTACTCCTTTTATGTCCGTCTCTAGAATTACTGTCCCAAGGAAAGGGCGATCCAGGGTCCAACCTTGGTGCTATGACTAATAGAATTCCAACTCCGTTCTCACCAGGGGGACGCCCTTAAGGGTAGAAGGGATCCCACATATTTACAGGCCAACCCTGCCCATCCATCTTTGGAGCCTCGCCTCTAGAAGCACCTGGCAGCCCGGAGGACAACACACAGATTACTGGTTCCAGAAAGGCTGGACCCTCATGGCCACTGCGGCCACCTCACCCCGGTCACCAAGCCAGAGGCAAAGTCCCAAGAATTACCAGGCACCTGCTCGCCAGCTACGGACCAGGGCCAGCCCTGGGGACAGCAGCAGGGCATGGAAAAGCTGGAGCAGCCCCTCGCAGGAACGGGAGAGGCCTGGGCCCTCGAGGCCAGCAGTGCCCGTGGCCTGGGCCGCGGCTGTGCGGATTTCCGGAAGCCCAGGCGGGGACACGCCTGTGATTGCTCGTCCCCCTCTTAAAATATAAAGACTCGATTATCTTTGAGGAGCTTGTTTTACACGTGAATTGACACACTTATTTCACAATAAATAACTGAAAGTGACCTGTGTTTCCTTTACTGTTAATCTACACAGAGAAATAATAAACAGGGCTTGTCCACAGAAATGCAACCACTGCAGTCCTCGGAATTCAATTAAGCTAAAATAATTAATGCTCCCACCATATTAAACTACTTTATACATTTGAGCCACGGAAGTTTTATTCTTTCATCTTCCCTTTTTATTAAATGAAAAAAAAAAAAAAAAAGAAAAGTTGGCGCCAAAGTCGGGGGGAAAAAGAGAAAAGAGGGACCAGGAAGGACAGAGCAGGATGTGCTGTGAAAATGGAATGATCGTCTTCAGCTGACACAGCATGGAGACTGTTTTGTGCCTTTGATGAAAATAACATTTTAAATGCTTTGACCAAACATATCTCTTTAGACTTCTAAGGGATTATTTTACATATTTCTTCGAGAATGAAGAAATCCATTCGTCCTGTTGCTGAACAGAAAAAGCCAAAAATATCTTTCGTCACACATAAAATAAAAATACTGTAGGCTGCCGCAGTATTACAACCCAAAAAGAGGGGGGCCGGGGGGAGGAAGGATGAGGACAGAGCTGTCTTGGAGATTAACTTTGCCTTTTATGAAATCATATTTAGTCGCTCTTTTAAACAAACCTACCCACCATGATCCGCAGCCTCTCACTGGGAAAGACCTTTGACGTGAAATGAGGATTCGGATGGGTTTTGGGTGAAAGCAGAAAGCTTTTCCATTGGAACATAAATAGGGGCCCACATCTCATGAGCACAAGCCACCCCTGAAAGGTCTGTGTGCACTGATGCTAGGCATTTATACCGCCAGTGAAAACCATCCCTCGAGCATCAGGAGAAGAAAATGAAGGGTGGAGACCCCAACCACACACACACAAGGGACCCAGCACCTTTCTCACCTGACGTCCAGCCCTACCCAAGGAAATGCCACTCAGATCTGCCCGGCACTCCAAGAAACCAGAGTGTACATTACTGTGGCCTAGATGTGCCGGACATTTTTCTCAATGCCCTCGGCATCTCAGGAATGTGAGAGATTTCATGCTAGGACACACAGCAGGGGCAAGGCCCGCAGGCCAGTCTGGTTCCCCAGGGCCTAGCATGTGCCTGCAGGAATCTGCTTGCCACCAGTCTCTCTACAAGAGAGAGATCTCATTTATCCCATTTTACAGACGAGTAAAGTGAGGCCCAAGGTCACAGAGCTGCCACCTGGCTGCCACAGAGCAGCCAGGCTTGCTGCATTACCCTGACTGCCTCCTGGGTGATGGGGAGTCTCTGCCCACGCCCATCCGTCTCACTGCGGAAGTGGGGTGCCCTGACTATACCAGGCTCACCTTCCAAGGAGCACCCAAAGCCTCAGTCCCTCCAGCATCCCTGCTAGCTTCCACGACCAAAACACGGTGGAGAGGGATATGCACATTTTCCCAGCCGGCCACCTACTTGTACCCTGTGACGCCAGAAGGGACCCCCGAGAGGAAAGTTCCACTGGCAAAGCGTTTATGGAGGCCCTGCTCGTTGAATCCTCATGCCAGGCCTGCCAGTATTATCACTACCTCTTGAAAGATGGGGAAACTGAGGCTTGGACCCGTGTAGTGGCTTGTCCAAAGCCAACTGACAGGATTCAAACCCTCACCTGCATGCACTCTGATGCCTGTCTTGCTGCAGGACAGGCTGCCCCTTCTAGAGAACACAGGCCAGCCAGGGCCCGCCTTTCCCCTCAGGCCTCTTGGGTTCAGAAGTACGAACCAGAAGCAAACACTCTGGTTGCACAGAGCACGGGCTCCCTGGAGAAGGCTCCGGCATGCCATGGCCATGGCCTGGAGAGAGGGACTTGATGCAAACTCACTGTAGCAAGCAGACCCGGCTGGAGGATGCGAGCCCCATGCCTGTTTTACAAGTGGTAAAAACCAGCTGTCCAGGTGGCCGGCCGAGTGGACGTGCCAAAGGACATGTCCAGCCTCCCCCAAGGGGCACCGTACTCCAGCAAGTTCTCACAAGCCCTTCCCCAGACCTAAAGTAGGATCAGGCAGCGTCAGAGGGGCCTCTGAGATCAGAAGACCTAACCCCTCTCTTTCCAGACGGGAAACTGAGGCCAGAGAGAGGAGGGGAGAGAATGAGTGCCCCGGTTCATGAGTGCCCACCAGGTACTGCCCACACACAACACCTCCTTAAGCCTCACGACAACCTGAATGAAACGGGTTTCATCAGCTCCATTTCACAGATGGGGAAACTGACCTGTCCAAGTCGTGAAGAATAGATTCCAACCCCAGACCCTCTAGCTCTAAAGCCAGAGACTAAGCCAAGAACCCCAGCAAAGCGAGGGCCATCTGGACTTCCGAATTTCCGTTCTGTACTCCTGGCCACCTATGCAATAGGCCCCACAACAGAGCCCCATTGCCAAAAGCAAAGCAGCCGTCGGCCAGTAGGGCCTCCCTGAGCCCCAGGCCTGTCTCCTCCTGAGGGTCGCCTGGATGGTGGGCCCTCGGAAAGGGCGAGCTCTGGCTGGTGGCCCAGAGGCCGTCCTGGTAGCCCTGGGCCCTCCCTGCACCAAAGCCCTCAGACAGAGGGCGAGCGCCCTGACACAGCGACGAGGGAAGGCGGGCGTGGGACCCAGGAGGTGGCTTCGGCAGCGGCCAGGCAAGTGCCACATTCCATACCTGCAATGTTCTCCTGCTTGGGGCAGATGCCTTTAGTGGGCGAGAGCAGGTGGTCGTCTTCATCGGGGGTGACCTGGATCCCGATCTCCACCGGCTCGGACACTTTCCTGAGCTCGGAGCGTGAGGAGGGCGGCGGGCTGCCCTTGTCCAGGCCTTTGTCATAGCAGGCACCCAGGCTGCTGCCACACTGCTTCTTCTTGTGCTCTATAAAAACCAGGATGTCCCCCAGGGGGAAGTTCATCTGACACTGTCCACAGGTGAGCAGGTCAGGGTCGGGGCCACCCACCATCAGCCCCAGGCCGCTGGGCTCCTCTATCTCCAGACCCTCATCTTCTTCGAGGATGGCGGCCTCCACATGGTCAGCCTCTGCTGGAGAGAGAAAGGAGAAAGGGGGGGCAAAGAAGATAGAGATGGACTTAGGCAATCACAAGACCCATTGTTCATTCCATCCCTTCCCCACCAAGAGGCAGGCCCCCTCCGCTGTGGGATGCTAGAGTTCACCAAGTCCTCCCCACAACTCTGGGAGACAGTGGGTTCACCATCCCTCGGGCTACAGATGGGCAAACTGAGGCTACAGGAGCAATGTCACGGCTCCCAGAGGTTGTCACTTAAGTAGTGCTGATCTTACTGCTTTCTAGTTTATTCTCTGCCAATTCCTCCCCGCCAACATAGCACAGGAACACACACATGTCCACATGCACATACACACGCATCCTGGTTTCACAAGAGACTCGGCCATCACGGACCTGGCAGTCTCAGCTGAGACGTGCTTCTCAAACTTGGCAACATCTGAGCATCACCTGGGAGCTTGGAAAACCCCCGATGCCCAGGCAGCACCCCAGACCAATTACGCTGGGATCCAAACATCACGTTGTTGTTGTTTTTAAGACTCCCCAGGTGATTCCGATGGGCAGCCAAGGCTGAGAACCGAGAGCCAGAGCCGAAGCAGAGCCGGTCACCCCGCTCGGGCTCCATCGGCCGCCCCTCCCTCCCCTCCCACCTCTCATTCATGTCCTCCCCATTCATGTGGGTCCCACTTGCTTTCCTCGACCTGAGACCTGGCTGCACACCAGACAAGAAAACAGAAACCCAGATGGGCGTCAGAGGGCCAGTCCTTCAGAGAGAAAGAAGCCCATGTGCTCAGAGAGCAACAAGTGAGTGTCGGTTCAAAAAGAAAGATGGAAGGAAGAAACAACGCAGGAGAAGGGATGAGCTGCAGGTCGGCTCGCTGCACGAGGAAGCTGGCTTTCCTGCCAGACGCCCTGCTCCTGCTCAGACTTCCAATGCTCTGTCGACTTCCCAGTGCTCATCAACTCCCCACTGCCCTTTTTTGTTCGTTGATTTTATTTTCACTCCCAGAAAAAGCAAAGAGAAAAAAAATTCTTCAGACTCCAAAAGCATTTTTTGGCAGAGGACAAACCACACTTGTGTGCAATGGGCTGTACATTTTCATATTTCTTTAGCAGCCAATATAGTTCCTTTCTTTTTTTTTTTTTTTTTGGTAGGGAACATGGCACCTAAATAGTTTGAAGCTAATAAATGCCTCAAAAAGCAGCAACCCCCTCAGGGAAACATTGGAAGACTCGGCTGAAAGTGTCGTAAATAAGGGAAGTGGACAATGAGGTTGCATATCCCCTCGGGTCTGAGCAAATTCGGGTTGGAATTTTTTGAGAGCAAACGTCAGTAGTTGTGTAGACTACAAGCGGCGGGGTCTTCACAGAAGGCAAGGGGCAGCCAGAGGTCTGCAACCCGAGGCGGCAGGTAAATTTTAAGTTGCATGGTATTTAGTAAGGGATAATGAAAACCACAGAAGACCAGAGAGAAGGAGTGGAAGGCAGGAAAACACATTCCGTGGCAGTGAAGTTATTGACAGGCCAGTGCCAAAGAACAGATAATTTAAGGAAAAAATTCTGTGGCATCTTCCATCCTACACATAAATCACTGTTCTGTGTTTTCTGAACACAAGCTTCTTCGGGGCCTGTGAGAGTCTATGTGTAAGACTGGCTCTAGAATGGACAGTAGATGACATATCACACATATGAACCACGCATGTATAGGTCGACACATAGGTATCCCTGAGGGAGGAGGTTACAATGTAAGATCCCGCCTGTGGTTACAGAAAAGCAGACCGAGCCCTCGATGACTGACATGTAGACACGCGTTAGAAATGTGGTGGTACTACAAGACCCCGCAGATGAGGAAATCCTAAATCTGTTGTCTGAAGCCCTCTAACAAAAGGTAAGAGAAACAGTTTTCACAAAGCCGGCCCCAGAAACCATTAATTACACTTTAAAAAGAAATCGGAGTTTACTTAAAAAGGAGTTTGAAGACAATGCTACATAATTAATTTACCAATTTATTTTATGAAAAGAAGCTTTGCTATGGTTAAAATGTAATCACAACCCTCCCGCCCAACACTGGTTCTAGGGGGAACTGGATGCCTGCGAACGGTTTGTCAGAATGTAAAAGGTAATTATTCGGGGCCTCTCTTCCCTTTAATGATCTAACATTGAGCAATACTGTTTATATTGAAAAGCTCGCACCTTTAATTACCAATTACATATACATAATTTCAGAGCCAAAGGAGAGAGCTGTGAAAACAGTTCTTTAGAAATATAAGGATGTATTGTGCACCATTTCTAGAGAAGGAACTCTAATAAATGGGAGGAGAATGTCAAAATATTGTTTTGTTAAAAAAAAAAAGAGAGAGACACAAAGGAAATGAGCTGAAAAGCAAAAAAAGGACAAAATGAAATTGAGAATTCAAATGAAACGGGCGAGTTCTGCGGTGGGGAGGGTGGTGGTACCTGGTACCGTTTTAAATGCCACTCCTGAGCAGGCCTGGCACCCGGCTGCGTCAACAAGGGCGTCTGATAAAAATAAATGACAACAGCTAATCCATCCACATTCCCAACTTGATCATCCTGAGGGTGATCATTCTGAGGGTGGGGAGGTGTTTTCTGTCGTTTAATTTCATCTTTGGTTTCCTTTTTTGGTTTTGTTTTGCTTTTCATTAACTTTTTCGGCCGCGTCCGGCCCATCCAATATCTCCTCCCAGTGACGAGGTTTTAAGCTACATGATTTCAAATTCATTTTCTAACACAAAAGAAACACAGACTAATTTAAAAATTACCGAAGGTCACACACTCCAGCTCCCAAGCATTTCCCCCACCCACTTCCATCTTTTGCTGAGGACTCAGTACCAGCACTTTTTTCCTTTTCTTCTTTTTTTTTTTTTGGTAACATCTGGTATTCTTTCCTTTATTTGGCAGTCTCTGCCTTTTCACTTTCCTCGTGCAGCAAGCCCTGTGAGGCCCAGTAATTGAGTTTGAAAGTATCCGAAGCCGTTCACTGTGCTGCAGTTCAGATTTCGGCCTCCAGTCCCCTCGCAGCCAACCCGCCTGGGCAGCCAGGCCCCGCTGACGTCCCGCAGATAGCTCTGAGCTCGCGTCTCCACCTCCCAGACCCAGGATCCAGCCCACTGCCTCTAAGGGAGTCCAGGAGCTAAAGAAACAAACAGAAAAAATCTCCTTCCCCTCCCACTTGCAGTGTTGAAAGTAAAACTCAAGATGACAGAGGGTGTTCACCCAACTCCAAGAATGGGATTCCCTCTCCCCACCCCCTGGGGTGTGGGCTCTGGGCTCTGACTGGCTGCGTGAGATACTTCCCAGGAAGGTGGCAACATCACCCCCAACATTCAGGCAGCAGAGTCACCCCGAACTCCCAGACTGTCAAACTGCTGGGTCAGAGCAGGTGGACCAAGACAGCTTGCTGAGCCTGAAAGCTCACGCTCGAGGCCTTCGGAGACACCCCCAAAGACGGGCTGTGGTTTCATTTCCGCTGGCAGGCGGATACCAAGCTGGGCGTGTGGGGTGCGTGTGTGTGTGTCCCTTCTTAGAACTGTATCAATAATGGAAGAAATAAAAGGAGAACGAGCCACTTGGCCAAGCTCAGAGAAGAGCCAAGAGAGGTTGTGTCTGGCCCTTCTAGAACCCTCCCTCCTATGTCCTGCGGGCACCCGGAGCCTCACAGCCCCGCACAGCCTCAGAGAACCAGGCCTCTGCCGTGACAGGCAGAGTGGCCCAAACTGCCACCCAGAGACGAGAAAGCACCAGAAAAAGAAAAGACACAAAATCAAAAACCGCCTTTCCAATTCCCAGACCCTACAAACCAGCCCCTGAGGCTGCCTTGTCCGGCAAACTCAGGCCTTAAAAAAAGAAGCCAAGGACAAGGTTTTCCTCTGTGATGATTTCTGCTTTCATGAAAAGCTCCCCAAGTGTCAGGCAGCCCTGGAAAATATTGCTGCTCTCACTATGATGAGCCGAATAAAGTCGAGGGATGGCTAAAATCTTTGACTCATTAAGAGGAAAAATGAATGGATGTAGCAGGCAACTTGTTCAAACGTCAGCTATCAGATCGGGGTGGGTTCTGAAATGTGAAATCCTAAAGAGCATGGACAAGTATATATTTACACACACACAGAGTTAATTTTCTTTTACAACAAAACCACATTTTATTTACAAGGCTGGGCCTCTTCCCAGCTGGTAAATGCATTTAGAAGCAATGAAATCAGGGTTCACAAGTAATAATGGACATTGTTGTTAAGTAGACAGGGAAGCACTTGATCTTAAGACAAACTCCCCCATGTCTAGCTCAGCTGGGAAGGAATTTGGGGCAGAAGACAGGAATGGAAAGACGTCGTTAACACCGGCCCAGCCAGGCAGCCAACACGCCCCCCGGCAGCTGCAAAGGCTTAGCAGGGCCTTACCTGGCCAGCGATTCCCCCCACGCAGGGTTCCAAGGGCCCCACCTGCCCGGGTCCATCTCTAACAACTGCCCCTGCACCTGCCCTTCGGGGAATTCCAGCCAAGGGGCCGGCCGCCTGCTGTCCCCAGGGCGCAGTGCGTATGCATTGCTGCACACCCAGCACACAGGCCTGTGCCCCCTTACCCTGCCTTGACTCAAATCCAAACCTCTGTCTTTAATGGCTAAGCCACAGTCCGGGAGAAACATACACAGAATTATTGTCTCAGTGATCGGGGGGTGGTAGGGGAAGGATGTGGGGGGAGGGGTGCCAGGCTCTTAAAATCGTGTGCCACCAACGTCACAGCCACCATCATGATGTGTACGCGTGTTTACAAGAAACGTTCAGCATCCATCCACCAGAGTCTGCATCCGACTGGAGACTTTACACCTGCTTCCTACGAAGACAGAGCCTTTGCCAGCAAGGCCATGCTCACCAATAATCTGCGAGGGGATCTTTTCATTCTCCTCCCCGAAAACGTTCAGGGAGGGGCTGAGACTCCAGGCGACACGGAAACACCACCAACAAGCACACTCGACGGAGCACAACACTTTCTGAGCTGCCA